AGTCTCATTGGGACAGGGAGGACAGGAGTTGCTCCATCCCCATCCCATGAGGCCCAACAAGTTTTGTCACCGTGGGCCCAAGCCTGACTGTCCAATGGCCTCTGGAGGATGGCGGCCACTGGGCCGTCAGGGGGAACAGGCCAAGGCATGAAACCTATTCCCACCTGGAGTGGCCCAGCACCAGTAACATACTGCAGGGACCAGACGCATGTCTGCCAAAGGCCGCTGGGTTTTGAGATTTGTTTCTGAGTCTCTGGGATCGTGGCCATTAAGCAGTTCAATCAGGAACCAGAGAGGCCATGCTTCCAATTATATAGCTGAGCCGGAGGTGGTTTGTGAGTATGTTTCCCACGTACCTAACTTTTGGCCGTTTACTTTCTTGGTAAACTTTGCCCCAAGTTTTTGGGGTCTGGCCAAAGGCACAGCAGCAATTTTGGGGTATCTGGAAGTCTGAAGGCGCCATCAGGCTGCTGATGCAATCGCCTCACAGGTACAGATTGACCTGCTGGCTGCACCATACCCCCAATTTTATTCTTAAAGAGCTGTGAAAACAATGGAGGATTTTTATGTTGCTATAGGTGTCTGGGGAGGAATCTTGTTCTTTTCTGTAGATATTTTTGAATGATGTTTACACACATACACACACACACACACACACACACACATATGCTATAGGCCTACCTTTTCTGGGCAAGCCATATTACTTACAAGCTCCCTCTCATGGTATTTAAGGCTCTACTTGTGTGGTTTCAGGTAAGGGGAAAAAAAAAAGAAACAAAGTATCAGTTTATCCTTTTATCAAACATTGACTCCTAGGGCACATCAGGCTCTGTTCTGGTGTGAATGTTAAAATGTCAGATAAGCATTCATACCTTCTTGGAGTTTACTTCCTGGTATTTGTATGGGAGAGAGACATGGACCAATTTGTTACATGGAACAAATATTATTAGAGAAAAATGAGTAAGGAACTGGGCTACGAAGTGCAGGAGAGTCCTCATTTTTGAAAAAGTGTCAGAAAAAATCTCACTCAGAGTTTGGCATTTGAACCAAAATGTAAAAGAGGTCTCAGGATGAATGATACAGTTATCTGGGGAAGAGGATTTCCGGTAGAGGTGCTAGCAAACACAAAGGCCCAGAGTCTAAGTGCTGTTTGGAAAAATAGGCCCAGGAGCCTTGAGGAGAGGGACATGGAGAAAGCAGTAGGTGGCTAAGTTCTACCAAGGTGTATCAAATCTAAGCAACTCAGCGGAAAGATTTTAGTTTCCACTTTGAAACAGGAATGCAGGGAAAAGGGACATGATCTGATTACAGAATTTGTTTGCTTTGTTTGTTTGGTTTTTGGCCACACCCAGCAGTACTCAGGGTACTCAGGACCACATGTGGTGGCAGGAATTTGATCCTGGGTTGGTTCAAGTGCCTTTACCCCTATACTATTTCTCTAGTTCTACAGCTTTTTATTTATATTTTATTATAAAATGTTATTGCACATCCATCATTGACTTTCGCCTAACCAGTCATTACATTATTATGAAAAAAGAATGATAGTAAGTTAATTTTCATTGAGCTTTCTGGAGCCAGTCTGCATTAGTAGGGCTTATCATCCTGAATTCCTGTTCACAATTTCCAGAGGGTTTGACTTCTTTAGAAGGCGTAAGTATGTTTAAAAGGTAGATTCTGAGGAAGATGAGAGAGACTTGTAGCTTAGGATAACACACTGACACCAAATTTATCTTGTTTGGTTTGGGGGCTATCCCTGGTGGTGCATGGGGGCTACTCTTACTTAGGAGCTAGTCTTGGCTCTGTGCTTAGGGATTGTTCCCAGAGCACCTATGGGAACTATGTGGACCAGGAATTGGACCTGGGCCTGTTTCATGCAAAGCATGAACTTCAGCCTGTTAAGATCTCTCTCTGAAATTTTTTGGATCATTTTTAACTCATTATTCATAATAATCCATACAAAATAAATTATTTAGGATATGCTTTGGGGGCAGGCTTGGGTGGTGGTAGGAAGGTGTTTTGGTGGTGGGATTGGTGTTGGAATATTGAATGTAATAAATTATTGTGAACATTGTTATTAAAATAAAATTAAAATTAAAAAATGATCTCTCTCTGGTGAATTTAACTTTATATCCATCTTATCTAGTTCCAGAGAAGTAAGACATGGGCTAGTGAGATGGATACTATTTTGTGTCTTTTTATACCTTGAACTCTTATATCAGAGATCTTGATGCTGGTCTCTGTTTTAAGTCCTCATTAGATTTTTTTTTAACGTTGTACAAGAAATCTAGAGTTTCAATTTTGAAACCAAATTTTACTTATTGCCCCTGGTCCCCTAAATTCTTTCACAGATAGTTTGCTGGAATTAATCCCAGGGCTGGAGCGATAGCACAGCAGGTAGGGCATTTGCCTTGCATGGGGCCACGGCCTACTTGGTCGACCTGAGTTTGATTCCTCCACCCCTCTCGGAGAGCCTGGCAAGCTACTGAGAGTATCTTGCCCTCATGGCAAAGCCTGGCAAACACCCCGTGAATTTGATATGCTAAACACAGTAACATCAGGATCCTCCGTGAGCTGTATTGCGGATTCACTACCAGGACCTCATCATTCTACAAAGAAGTGATCGTTGATGTCAAGAGAGGGGTTCGGCAGGGCGATACCATTTCACCGAAACTCTTCAGTGCCACCCTCGAGAACATCATGCGACGACTGGAATGGGAAGGAATGGGAGTGAAGATAGATGGTCGGCAACTACACCACCTCTGCTTTGCTGATGACATTGTTTTAATAACACCAAACATCAGCCAAGCGGCACAAATGCTGGCCGACTTTGACCGTGAGTGTGGAAAGGTAGGACTACAGCTGAATCTTACGAAGACAATGTTTATGAGAAACAGCCTCATTCCTGACGCCCCATTCGCTCTCAACGGAACGACCATCTCCGAATGCAACAGCTATGTGTACCTAGGTCGAGAGGTCAACATGACAAATGACCTGGCACCCGAGCTGCGCAGGGGGAAGAGAGCGGCTTGGAACGCCTTCAAGAGCGTCAAAGAAATAGCTAAGAGGACGAAGAACCTCCAGCTCTGGGCACATCTCTTTGATTCCACTGTTCTTCCTGCATTAACATATGCCTCAGAGACCTGGGCCCTACGCAAACAAGATGAGAACGCCATTCAGGTCTCCCAAAGAAGAATAGAAAGAGCTATGCTTGGAATATCACGTTTCACTCAAATGAGAGAAAGAATCCGGAGTTCTGACATCCGTCGACGATCAAGAATCAGGGACGCTGCCTCATTTGCCAAGGTGTCGAAAATCAGATGGGCTGGTCACGTAATGAGATTTAAAGACGACTGCTGGACTAGAGCTGTTACCGACTGGATTCCACGGGATGTCAAAAGACCGCGTGGCCGCCCACCTACCAGATGGTCAGACTTCTTCGTGAAGATCATGAACGATCGGTTTGAGGCTCTTCATGTTCCCGGAGCGAACAGATACCACTGGGTTACACTAGCATGTGACAGGGACAAATGGAGACGTTACTGGCGCCCGCTCGAGCAAATCGACGACTAATGGGAAGTTAAGTGATTAAGTGAAGTGAAACACAGTAACAACAAGTCTCACAATGGAAACTGTTACTGGGCCCGCTGGAGCAAACTGATGAACAAGGGAGGACAGTGCTACAGCGCAGTGCTACCATAAAGGTTCTTTGTATGTGTCTTGATGAGGATGTGTAATTAAGGAGAAGTGCTGCTAGTATGACACCCTTGTATATATTACTTTGAATCTTTTCTTCAGGGTCATCTTGGTTTTGGCTTGGTTTTAAGTTCTTAGGTGCTGACCAGTTTTGGATTTGGTGCTTAGCACTTGTGGATTTAACTCTTAAATGCTGACTTCTGAAAACAATTCTTTGACCTGGGTAAAGTCATTTGGATAAATACAGTCATGAGGATTTTTCATTACTTGCTTGTAAATTTTGTGAGGCTATGTCTATGCTTAGAGGATATAATCTTGTTTGGAGATGTTTATTGGGCTATGTTGCAAGTGAGTACTAAAGTCTAAGGATTCACAGTTTAATTAAGGTTTTAAGAGGAGTCCTCTGCTTCTATCTTTAATAGATTGTGGAAGGATATAATATGAAAAGGAGTTCACAAGGCAACTTTGGGTTGAATAATAAAGGCAATAGGTGTTCAGATTCTGAATAGCGTTAGAAGGCAGATTTTGCAGAACTTTCTTGAGTTAGATCTGAGGCAAATGTGTGAGAGAAGGAATCAAAGATCTCAATAATGAAATTACATAGTAAATCATTGTCAAAGTAAGGTGACTAACGAATCCCTGAAATATTTGCAGGAAAAAAGTATTTGGAGGTTTATCAAGCAAGTAGTCGTGTGTAACTTTATTTGTGAAATTAAAAAAACCCTCTGATTTGTTACTTTTCTCTGTTTTTTTAAAAATCTAATACTGTATTTGTAATTTTGGTTTTCTAAAGGAGGACCCCAAATTCAGTAGGGATTCCACAAACCTAAATTCAGCCCTGCTCCTTACTCATATCTGAGTAGTTCTTTTAAGATATCCATATACTTGAAATGTTTCTTTGATAAAATTATGACAGAACAATGTGCACGAACTGGAACTGTAAGCTTAATACAGTATTAAGTATAAGCTAATGCTGGGGATATATTGTAAGAAAAAGTCCACCTATTCTTCCAGTTTTTCTAAATCTACGAAATGCATCCGAAATGAGTTAAGTATTTATTTTTTTAAACCAGAGCTGCTAGTACCTTAGTGGCACCAAATCGTGTTCTTAACAGGAGCGCCACCAAACACTCAACACAAAGTACTCGAGAAAGGCTGAGCTAGGCGTCACTTGGGGCGGGGCTTAACCGGGCTGCTCGGTGGGCGGGGTCTACGTACTTCCCCGCCCCTGTGAGGCCTGACGCATGCGCCCAGAGGCTACTCGCGAAACTAGGTGTGGATTGTGAGGTGACCCTGGCCGTTGACTTCCGGTTCCAAAGGATGCTCATCCGGGTCACGATAACGCCGCGGTTTCCTCCACCCGCTTGGTTCTACGGTGGGTCTGGACCGGTCCCCATGTCCTGCTGTGAGGCCTCTGCAGCGTTTGGGTGAGTCTCCAGCTCCGACAAGGGTGTGAGTGCGGCCGGTTGAGGACAGCCTGTAAAGCTGCGGGCCAAGAGTTAAGCTCCGGCCCCTGGAGGGGGGGCTCGCTCTGCCTGTCCCTTGTCCCTGCAGTGCTCCGCTTAGTTTCGGCTCTTCTCCGCGAGCTGGCCTTGCCTCTTCCAACTCACTTTAACCTGGCCCATGCCTGGGCATCCCCAGCCCCGCTGATTCCTCCCCCCCTTCCCCCCCCCACACACCCCAGCTTCATGCATCCCTTTTCAGTCCCGGTTGCTTTTCCTTCGCTTCAGCGCTTCCCGCAGGCACTGCCGCTCGGGTCTGCCCCCCGCCCTCGGCAGCCCCCCACCCTACACACACTGTGAGCGCCTCTCTCTTCCCCAGCCCTACGGTGTCCCGCAGGACGTTCCGACTCCTCTTTGGTGGACCGTTCCTCATGCTTGACCCCCTCCCGTGGCAAAACGGATCCTCTTTCAGGAGCCCAGGACCTTGCCCTCCAACTTGCCTCTGAACCCCCCGTTTCCCTCCCGGGACTCGTCGATGACATATGCACCCTGCTTGCGGCTCTCCCGCCTTTTCTGAGCTGGAGCGGGGTTTTGCTGCAGACCCATCCTGAGCCCCTGGCCCTGGCCCCGGAGAAGTTTTGCCTCTGGACCCGGGGAGAGACTGAACTGGGGCAGCCTCGGTAGCTGGAGAACACAGGAGCTTGGCACTGGGGCACTTGTGGGGGCTTTGGGAGGAGCAGGCTAACAGGTGGCGGGCACGTGCAAGTAAGTGCTGGAGCTCAGGCTCCTGGAAGCCTGTTCATTGGCAGGGCCTGAAGAAGAGCTGTCAGTTTTGTGTTCTTGGTCCCGGGAGAATGCAATGTGGCCCGCTGAGGTCAGAATGCGGATGTTTGGGCCGGCTCCTGCATGGGCTTTATCTTTAGGAGAGTTGCTGTGCCAGGACAGGTTTTTTCCCCTTGGATGATCATGAGTCCCAGATTTCAAAGCCTGATGTCCAGATTGTTTGTGTAACTGGAACATTTTCTGCTCAAGCGTTCTTTGTAGTCATTTCAAAGTACCTTTTTCAGGTTGAACTTTATCACTGCCTCTTATCCACTGTTTTCGTTTTTACTGTAAGCATGCACTTGCTAGTTTTCTTCCTGCTTACGAGCTGCACATTTACAGTACTTTTGTTTCTCTTTTAACGTTGTCTTAAAAAACATTTCCCCTCTTTATTTGTAGCTTTAATTTTCTTGTAAATTTCTCTGGAGTCTTTTAGTCATCTCTAAAACAGGTGTTAAGGGTTGGGTAATTTTTGTTTTCTGAGTGTTTACCGTGAATGCCTAGCATTTGTAAATGTTTTTGTGTGTGGTTGAAGTAGTAATATTTCTGTAGTCCTGGAAATTGCGGTCTAATTGCGCTCTAAAATTTACCACTCAGTGAAAGAATAAATACAGCTTTTAGCATTGCTTCTCTTTTGCTGTAATAGAAAAGGCTGTTACAGCAAAGTCTCCCTCTTTATATGACACATACATATGTGAGTCTGTATGACATGGCAGAGACCCTGGCTTATTCCAAAATTGGGCTGTGCTCAACAGCTATTTTTAGTTCAGGACCTTGGGACTTGGCCATATTAGTCCTAGAGGCCACAGAGGGCCCTTCTGGTTGGCTTTCAGGGCTTATCTAAGGCAGAGGGAAGACCCTTTGAACATTCCTTGCCAGGAGTTACATTGGAAAGTGACCTTCTCTTCAATCTGGCTTCATCATTTCCCATCCTTAAAAAAACGAATCTGGATAAATATGGGCTGACTCTAGATGCTTGCTTCCATCCAGATTTGTGGACCTTTCTCTTTAAGGCCATGAGTGCGCCACAGATAGATTTGTATTTGTGGTAAAGCAAGACTTTCTTGCAACTTATTTTTATTTCTGAATTTTTTTGCTTTCTTAGCCATCTCTAAGTCTAAAGCTAAATGCTTGTCTGTGGCTTACAGATGGAGGGAATCATGAAATTCAAATGCACACCTTTGACTCACAGGTAAAATCAGAACTTACAGAATTGGTGAAGTTTTCCAGGTTACGTTTTACAAGTAAGTTACATACACCAAGAGACTTGTGTTTAAGCCCCTCCAGCTGTAGTCTGGAGAACACAATGTAGTATCAGTGGTTCTGTCAGTTAAATTATATTATAGGAATGAAAGCTTTAGGGCAAGAAATCTATGACATAGATAATTAAATATAAGGTTGAAATCATTATGTCTTCACAGGAGGAACCTAGAATACTTGTGTAGAAGTAGGAGTTATTAAGTCTTTGAAGACTATTGTAGTCTGTACTACAAATTGTGCATAAAAGCCTTTACATGACAAGAATGGTCTATGTTCTCCCTGGAGCAATTCTGTTGTTCCTGGTCTTTGTATTGTCATTGGATTTTCTAATATCCGAAAAGCCTATACCTTTCTTAACCAATTGTCAAACAAATGAATCACTAAAGACTCATTGTCAAACAGATCAATCACTAGTGACAGCTTAATGTTTGTGTTTTTAAAGCATTGGGTCTGATTTTATTTTATTTTTATTTTTTGTTGGGGAAGGGCCAGACCTGGTGATGCTTGGGATTTACACCTGGCTCTATACTCAGTAATCATTCCTGACAGTGCTCGGGGACCATATGGAATACTGGGGATTGAACCTGGATCCTGCAAGCAACGCAAGTGGTTTACCTGCTGTACTAGCTCTCTAGCTCCAAATTTCTGTTATAATTTGGTTTGTGGGCCATCATCTGATAGTGCTCAGGGGTTGCTCCTGGCTCTGCACTTAGGAATGACTCCTGGAGGTGCTTGGGAACCATATGGGATGACAGGGATTGTACCTGGGTCAGTGGTGTGCAAGGCAACTGCCTTGCTTGCTATACTATTGTTCCATCGTGGGTCTGATTTTAAAGCTTAGGGTCACTGTTGATTTTCTTTTACTTTGTTGTTGTTTTTGGGCCACAACTGGCTGTGCTTAGGGCTTACACTCCTGACTCTGTGCTCAGGAATCACTCCTGGCCGTGCTCCGGGATTGTATATGGTGCCTGGGACTAAACCCACGTTGTTTGTGATGGTGCAAGATAAACGACCATCCTACATGCTGCTGTTCTATGGCTCCGCCCCTTCATAACTGTTTTCAAAATACTCTGGTATTACTTCATTTAGGTTCTTGTTTTAATCTGCATTACAGTTAAATGTAAAATTATGTTCTTTCTAGGTACGGTTAAATAATTTTAATTTGAAATTTTCACAACTGAACTTTAAAAATCTGTAACACTGAAAACAAAACAAAAAATCTTTACATATAACACTTATGCCAAGAACTATTCTAAGTGCTTTACATATATTAACTCTTTAATTCTTAGATCACTCTGAAGTAAGTACTTGTGCTGTTTCATCAAAGAGGAAAACCAAGGCACAGAAATAAAATAGATTGCCCAGATTACACACGTTACTAGTTCTTTAGTTGGCAAGAGAGCTTAATTTGAATTTTTAGTCTAACTCTTGAGTTTGTATAGAGTTCCACATGTTTAATGATTTTTTCCCTTCATGAGTTAAGGCTAAAATAGCTTTCCTGGGTCCAGGGAGATTGCTCAAAGCTCAAAGCTTTTATTCTGAGCTCTGAGTTTGATCTTTGGCACTGACCCATGTGCCTCCTTCCCACCCCACCCCCCAAAAACACACACTTTATCTTTTATTTATTTATTTATTTATTTTTGCCGGGGTGGTGGTGGTAGTGCACGCCTGCCAGTGGTGATTAGGGCTTCTGGCTCTGCACTCAGGAATCACTCCTGGTAGACTCAGGGGAACTATAAAGGGTGTCAAGGACCAAACCCATGTGGGCTCTATGTGCAAGGCAGATAGACACCCTACCTGTTGTACTATTGCTCCAGCCCCCCAAGCCCCAATTTTTCTGAAGCACAAAAGAATGCTGTTTTTAGTTGGGAACTTTAGAGGGGTATATTTTACCTGCCTTTTGTTTTTTCTAAATGCTGACTTAAGGCAAGGCAAAACCTTCACAATACTTTATGCAAAAACCATGTATTAGAAATCAAAAGAGGAGTACATTCTTCCCTCTTAAAAGAAAATATTTTAGAAATCACTTTTCAGCTATTTGTAGAAAAGGCAGTATGTTTAATAAGCATTCTACATTGCTAAAATGTCTTGTTCCTTGAAGAATGCCTTTCCTTTCTTTGATCTAGTAAGTATTAACTAAATTTATGTAATAGTCCTAAACTCTGAAATCTTAATGTCCCCAGTATAAATAGTACAGGTTTGAAATATAAAACAGGAAACTGAAACAGAAATTTCTGACTTATCTCTGCTCCTCCAAATCTGAAAATTTATGTAGAATTAAGTATTTTCTTCTGTTTGGGACTATTTTTGAATTCATTTTTATTTTTTACTTTAGAAAAGAGAAAGGAATGTTCACAGACCACTTCCTTTTTAGATAAATGTGATTTAGAATATAATCACCTTCCTATTCTTTTGTACTTTTACTCCCAAATTAAAAAATTAACCGCATCTTTAGGGGAAAAGATCCTAAAGGAGGAGGTTGAGGAGAAGGTTAATAGGAGTCTTGGGCTCATGATGGGAGGTTATTTTTGAGTTTTGAGAACAATCTGGAATCATGGAATCTGGTTAGTAGCAGAAAACTATCTGGTAAGAAGCAATATGTGGTTAGGCATACTGCTTCTTTTAGTTCTTTTATTTGAACTACTCTGTTCAGACATGATACTAGATACATAATTTTTCTTAGGTGTGTGAAGTAAAATAATTTTAGGAAGCAGGAGAGAGGGAAGAAGACAATGAGAGAAAGAAAGTAAAAAAGAGAGAAAGTAATGTGTTCCTGAGAGAACATGAAATTCTCCAGAGGGTAGAGAACCAGTACATCATTTTGGTTTGTGTTTACTTTTGTTTTGGGGATATACCTGGCTTTGCTCGAAGCTTATTTCGTGATCTGCTCTCAGGAATCGTTT